AGAAGAACATTTATTTCTCAGTGATTAGACCTCCCTTCTGTAGGACTCCAGATGCAATAAAACTTGGATTGGTTTTGATGTATCAAGTTTCCGAGCAAACAACAAACAAATAAAGTAAGAGAAAATTGTGAAATTGTAACATCCACTGCAACCTTCTTCAACAACCACAGCAAGCACTGCTGATAACCATCAACCGAGTTTAAGCACAGCCTCTAACACACGTGTTTACATGCAAAACGAGGGCTTCAAGTTTCCTGTCGCAGATCAGTCTCCGCCACAGTATTTTTTTTTCCGTGCCAGTGCTGAGACCACTCGATGGGCCTGGCTAGAACAGAGTACCCACCAGCTCTAGATGCACCAGCATGAGACTCTTTCCCAAAAAACAGGCCACTTATGGACTTCTGAGGCTTGCTAATGTCCTGAGATAAACTTCCACTGCTCAGGTTTCCCTTCCTGCCAGGAAGCATAGGCATGCCAAGTGCTTACTTCTCAGTACCCAATGCCACCTTTTATCATGGAAAATCTGAAGTATACTAAGTAAACACTCGGGTAAGTAAATGATTCAACCAGATGGTAAGGTCAGAGTATACAAGCCTGTGATTAAGAAGGTGAGTCACACCACAAAGCTGGGAATATGTTCTGGTGGCATATTATAAAATGGGCCACTATATAGTAAATCTTGGCACAACTGGATAAAGAGGCATATTTTATTATTCTGGAGGTCAGGGAGTTTCACAAACATCTCTCCAAGCTTGCCACAGCTATCTTTTGGAACTTTACAGGAGGCCTCTATCTTTCATTGCATCACTCCCTGGGAATTACTTAACAGACAGGGAACCATTGTGGCTGAAAGTGGAAGTTTTAGAGTCAGGTACTCTGGGTGTGAGTTCTACTGCTTATTAGTCTTGGGCCCTTGAACAACTTGTTTAAGATCTGTTAGCTTTCTTTCTTCAATCTGTGAAAGAGAAATAAAAATAGTAGCTAATGGAGTTATTGTGAGAATCAAATGATACGGCAAGTAAAATATACAAATCTGTTTGTTTTTTTTCCTTTAAAGGTGTTCAGTAAATGGTAGTGTTTGCTAACTGTGACTCAGATGTGTCAGTTCCTCTAACCTGCAGCCAGCTCCCTGGGGATCCCCAGTTGCTCGTGATCACAGCCATCTCATTTACTTTCCTGTTCTAATGTCCTGGGAGTCTATGGATGGCCAAGGGAGTTGTACAATCAAAGCAACTCTGAAGTCAGAGTATGGTGAAGTCACTCTGGCCTAAAGCGAGTGGAACGTGAAGGCTTGGTGTAAGAAATGGAACTTTTAAAGTCAATTAGTTATTTTATTTATATCTAACCCCAATCCCAAATTTTGGTGGGATTTTACTTTTTTTAAAGCACAAAATCAATGGTGGAAATGAACAGTAGAGAGAGTCATAGGGAGGAGAGAGTACAGACAGGGGAAAAGCAAGGCCAGCCATAAACTTCACCTTTGGGCTGGGTATGGGCGAATCTGGCTATAATTGCCCCGTTACAAAAACAAAGAAGGAAAATACGCCATCAGTTGCAAAATTCATACCTGCCAATATGTCTTCTAGGCCAGCCGCTGTTCTAAGCATTTCAGATGCGTTAACTCAATTGTCACAGCACCTCTATGAACTGGAACCGTTTTCACAGATGGGAAACTGAGGCTCTGAAAAGTTAAATAAGCGACCCAGTGCTCACTGTGGCAGCACTGAAATTTAAACTCTGGTTGCCCAGTTCACAGGTCACACTCTTAAGGACGAAGCAATGCTATTTTGATAGACAACATGTAACAAATAATAGAAAACCAGCAGTTCAGAGGGAGCATTTCCTAACACTGCGATCTAGGTTCTCCGAAAAGCAAAATAGTTTGACAAAGTATACCAGATTGAGGCATTTCCCAGGTCAGTTAATTTTTTTTTTAAATATGATGTACAGCTGACCACCTCTTTTCATTTGTGTGTGCCAAGTAAGAACACTGAAACAACTACTACCAGGGACTGTCAACATCATTTCATGAAATACGTGACACATAAGCACCAAAAAACCACAGAAAGAGCACAATCTAAGCATAGAGGGTCTTGTTTTACGATTTGGAATAAACTCAGCTTTGTGAACCATGCACAGTCCTTGTCTCTCTCATTTGCCTCTGACAGGTGAAGAACCGTCAGAGAATATCATTGTGCATGAACTTGCCTCTGAGAACCACTGACAATCTCCCTTTGGAGTCTCTGTGACTTCAGAACAGAGAACCCAAAAGCAGAATTGAGACTCCATCCTTCTCGGGGCTGGATCCCAGGAAGGTCTCAAAATCAAGTCTCTTAAGAACCAGACGATGTGATCACATCAAAACACACAGAAAGTCCGAGTAGGAGGACTCGGTCATGATTTTCACACAGGGTGCACGCAGCACTCACCGACACGACGCATTGCTGCAGGCTGTGGGGCACACGGCAGCCACACGCAGGCTACAGCCTCGGTCTGAAACAAAACCGAACACCACAGGTGTCTGCTGTGGGGGTTTTTTTAATCCTCACCTGAGGACATTTTTTCCACTGCTTTTTCAGAGAGAGTAGAAAGGAGAGAGAAAGAAACATCAGTGTGAGAGACACATCAATTGGTTGCCTCCCGAACGCACCCCAACCAGGGCCGGTGATCGAGCCTGCAACCGAGGCACATGCCCTTGGTCGGAATCGAACCCAGGCCCCTTCAGTCCTCGGGCCGGTGCTCTAACCATTGACCCAAACTGGCCGGCGCTGATACCACATGTTTTAAAAGAACATAATATGCTTAAAGAAAATATAAGATTAACACCAGGAATGTTATTAGATTTTCCCGATGCTAATGCACTGGCAGCATTTTCCTATTTTGTTTGGTAAAGAATTTGAGTTGCTTCTAAATTTATGCTGAAACCCACTGGCTGCTTTCCGAGGCCAAAGCCAGCAGCTCCACTTGTTCAGGGAGTTGTATTTACAATACCTACTGTTCCTACGTGTCCATTAGAATGCAATTATCCTGCTGGGGGCAAAATAAAGGTCACTGGGTTAATGGAGCTCACCTTTCTTTTTTAGCCCATAAATAATAAATCAAATATAATATTTAAAAAGAAAGCCACATCCTGCATATTATTGTATTTCTGGTGCTTTTTTCACAGGACATTTGAGTACATGGCACTTGCTATGGCCATAATCATCGCAGTCCATCAAGTTCCTTACAGCACTGGCTCAGTCAAGAAGTACACAGCACACGTCCACTAAATTGATAGTCGTCAATACTCAAATGTTCAAGAAATTTCCTATGACGTTTTCAAAGTAGACTGTGGTATATTCTACTCTGACTTTAAGGAGCGAATCACAAAATTATTTATCCTAGCAAATATACAGAAAATCTCATGAGCGTTATCGAAGTGCTGACAATAGTATGCATTTTAAAAATTCTAAACAAATACGTACAGGTTCAAGCGCATTCCACTGCTTCCAGAATGGCTTAGCAACAGTACTTACAAGGAGACAGCAGACAGCCTTTATGACCATGCCAATGATAATAAGTATTTCTAGGCAAGATTCTGTTGCCACTAGTTTCCCTAATGAGAAAACGAAGACTTTCCTGCCAGCTAAATAGCTGAACAGGGCTCTCAGCCCAAAAGAGCCTAATCGATGTTTTCACTTCAGGCTTCCCCAAGGGAACAACTAAGCAATCGCTCCAGGACCTGGCACATCAAGATTTATAAGGCAGAATAGGAACACATGGCCTAAATAGCTTCAGAAAGCATTCATATAGAGCAATAAAAAAAACCTTAGAGCAGCTGCTGCTATATCACCATCGCCCTGAAAATAAGGCTATGTATCTCATGAGATTTATCTAAGAAATATTTTAAAAATAAAAGGGGGCTTATAGTACACCTCTGAGCCTGCTATAAGAACTGGAACTGTTACACATTTGTAAATCACTCCCCCAAAATAATGAAAATGAAAATCTCCTCTTTCCGCTTGATGCAGGCTTGTGTGACAAAATACACAGCAACTGGCAAACAACAGAGCCACACACGGCGTCTGCCTCCTCTTCAGGAATTTCAGCAGCAGCCGGCGCTTCCCTGGGAGCAGGCATTTTAACTGAATTTTAAACCTAACAATGAACCAGAAAACTGTTTTCCTAAACAACACAGCAATAATACTCACAATTTTTTTCAAAAGTTTATTTGAAGGGCATGTATCTGTCATCAACAGCATGTCATTATTTGTTTTTATTATAATTAATAGCAATGAAACTAATAACTACCATTTACTGAGTCTTGTTTTATGGGTTACCTAACTTAATCCTTGAAAAAAAATCCAATGGCCTGTGAAGGGTGGCAGAATATACCACTCCAAAATATGCCACTTTGGCATAAGGACTATTTTGAGCTAAAGGCACCTAAAAAGCAGTACATGCAAGGAGAGCATTTTAATCTCCCCTTTTCTTCCTGAAAACAGATTAAAAACGCCCACATGAAAGATGCCCTCCCTGCACCAGGAGGAAAGAAACACTCTTCCATGAAGAGTCAAAGCCGAGAGAATTCTTTAAAAACAGACCTTGTTACAATAATTCTTATCTTCATTTAGCCTCTTCATATATTTTAGTTACTTGTCCACAATCACCTCTCTTCATTTCCTTATGAGGGCCCCCATGTCATATAAAACTTACCTAGATTTGTAAGCGTTTCTCCTGTTAATCTTTTTTATGTTTGTTTCATTCCCAGGAACAGCTAAAACACTCTAAGAGGGTAGAGGTAAAATTCTGCCTCCCCTACATCTGTGATTTGTTAACTAATTAAAGCTACAGATCCATCAGCAAAAGCATTAAGACCTAACATTATTTAAATGTAAACATTTATTTTCCTTAGTATTCATTCTCATTGTAAATGTCTTTGGCTTTGAAATTTATTTGGACTCCCCAAAAAGGTTTCCTTAAAGCATTAGCTATTTTCATGAATATCATCATATACTTACTTCTTTACTTATTACAAGAGCTTTTGCATCTGTTTTACACAAAATCGAAGCAGGCCGATTGGCATTAGTTAAAAGGCATGTTTCCTGAAAAATAAAAACAAATGGATTTCTTCTGGAATTATTTCAGCTCTGACATTATTACTACAATGAAACTCTGGGACTGTGTGAAATTATAAACATGCATCATTTTAAGCAAATCATTTTTTAAAATAAGTCTTGCGCTTATAGAATTGATAAATAAGGACTGTCCTGGTCTTTCACGTAATTTCAGTACCAACAACATTAAAATGTACAGACTACTTTATAAAAACAGAATGCTGGGTTGAGTAAGTCTTATTCTGAATACTTGATATATTAAAACAACAGCATGACACACACAAGCTGTATGCTAACTCCATTCAACATTTATTACTAAGAAAAAAGGATGCTTTGTCCTAAAGATGGCAAACTTGGAGCGGATGCTGACCTAGATCCATGATGCTCAATGAGGGCGGGGGTGGGGTGGGGTGTTAGTATAACCATATACAAAATTATAACACTTTCTTCTTATTATAATATTTAAAAATGTAGCAATATAGAATACAGATGATATTATCTTATTGAAGGGAGAGGGTCATGACTTTAAAATCTCTTTGCTTGAGCTGGGACATCCATCTTATCCAGCCCTTGGACATTAGCACTCCTGGTTCTTACGCCATCAGATTTGGACTAGGCCTTACACCATCTCCCCCATGGTTCTCAGGCCTTTGGACTTGGACTGAATTACACCAGTGACTTTTCTGGTTCTCCAGCTTGCAGACAGCAGGTTGTGGGACTTCTCTGCCTCCACAGAGCATGAGCTAATTCCTAAAATAAATCTCCTTTTATATATGTCTGTATACATCCTATTGGTTCTGCTTCCCTGGAGGTCGCTTTATGGGTTTTGGTTGACAAATATCAGTTCAGATGATCTCCAAGTTTCTTCCATTCAGTTGAAAAATCAGTGGCTCCATTTGATCTGCACACAGTTGAGGCAGCACAGCAGAGCAAACAGAGCATTAAATTCAGGATTCTCCCCCCCTTTCTGCCACTAATTAGCTGTGTCAAGATAAGCAATTCAGGTTCTCCATTCACTAAGGTGTAAAGTGAAAGGGTTTGTTTAGCTGACTTCTGGGGCTCCATCTAACATTAAGTCACTGATCCTGGGGAAGATCTTGATGCCCACGACAGTCATCAGGTTCTAAGAGGGCTTCCAAAGTGCCTCCAGCACTGGAACATTCAACCAGTCACAGGCTGGCCAACACCTTAACCAATGCTCAATCTATCAAGACATTTTTGATGCACCAATGATGATACATAATTAACAAGGGTATGGAATACTGTGGAAATATAAGGTTCGTTTTTTATTGCAAATTGTTAGAAATATATCTTTCTCCTTTGCCCTTCTCACTGGAATTGTTACCAATGAAATATCTTGAATCCATCTCCTATTTGGTATCCCCACAGCCAGTGCTCATCAATCTCCCACCTGTTCTTCAACTCCATGTTGTCCTTACTCTGCTAACACAACACCACCTATGCTAACATTTAGACAGATGACTAATTGCACCAGTCATCCATCTAACGGTTAACCTGACTCATCTCCCTCCGACCTAAAACCCCTCAATGAGCTCTAATGCTTGTAGAATTAAGTCCAAACTCTTCATCATTGTTTTCAACACCATGTTTGACCTCAGCTGACATTTCCAAAATAAACACCAGAAACTGCTCTCACCTCCCAAAACCTCTACCCTTAGGGACTTTTGGATCCGAGGATCTCCAAATCCATCTGCTCCCAACTAAATATAGAAATGAAGCAAGTTTTATTCCTACACACAAGCTGCTTTCTTGCCCTAAATTTTATCCCTTTTGCATGAAGTCTTTCGCAAGCATAGACTTTCTTCAAAGAATCAAAAATATCTCCTTGAATCAGTAACTGTTTCGGTACACTTTTTAAAAATACCAGCCTGCCTCCAAAGCTACATGGTTTGTAACTCATTCATTTAACAGGGCAATCATTCATATAACAATCACTTATGAATCTTGGGGGTCCTGTATGTTGACAAACTATATGTCAGGCTATATGTTGGCTCTACACTGTTAAGGAAAATATGTATTTTTTTAAGCATTTAAAATACTGAAATATTTAATACTTGAGGATAATGCTACAGCATACTATGTTATTTTAATACAATGACACATAACTTAAAATTTTTTTTAATAAAAATGATAATAGACTGAGAAATTAAGACAATATTTACCCCTATGAAGTCACCTTCTTCAAACTCACTTAAAATTTCAGAGTTGGTAATTTTGTTCATGCTTGTATTACTTGACATGACCTTTAAATGTCCAGCAAGAATCAAGTAGCATTCAAGTGGTACATGTCCTTGTCTTAGAAGCACACTTCCAGCTTCAAATCTGGGGAGAAAGAATATTAAAAACATTTCCTCCGCAAAATGTCAAGTTAGAAATCATTGGTGGCAAACAAAATCCTGTCATCTTCACCTGTAAAGAATTACTTTTTGTTAAGAAGCAATTATCTTCCTCTGGTACAGACCTTGAAGGCAAGAACTGTAGCCAATCTGTCCACTGCTATAGCATCGGTACCTGAAATGATGCTTGGCTCAGAACCTAGGCACTCAATGAGTATATATTGAGTGGATTTACGAATAGGCAGAGGAGGTGTTGCACAATCACAGAACAGAAGGTCTCCATACAAATGAATTACTTAGATAAACCCTGCTGTTTCATAAAATATAGGTATTTTTTCATACACTACTGCTGAGTTCATGATGTAAGGCAAGATTTTTGGCTTTCTGGAGACGTAAATTTGGTGTTGACTTGCATTCCTTTTATCAAGACTTTTTAAAAGTACAGTAAGTCCTCACTTAATGTCATCAAAAGGTTCTTGGAACTGCAGCAAAACGACTTGTAACAAAACCACCTTTGTCATAGGCTAATTGATATAAACAAGAGTTGTTCCTATGGTATCTCATCAATGTTATAACTAATGACATTGTACAAAATATTATTTGAGGAGCTGCTGTATTATATTCAGGAACAGTTTTGTAAATCTGCTACTTTTCCCTATTTGTCGGTATTGAGCCAGAGGATGGTAGTTTGCCCACCCCAGTTGATAGAAACAACCCATCCCTGGTAGTAATGCATGGTAAACTTTAATGAACATAAAAGTCACCTGGGGCATTTGATAAAAAATCAAGATTCCTTTATACCCTGGAAATTCTGATTTGGTAGATGTGGGGTGGGGCCCAGGAATCGGTATTCTTGAAAGGATGTTCTCATTATTTTTATAAGAACTACACTTTGAGAAACAGTGTATTTGAGGCTAAGAAGGAACATTATTTCTTTTCTTTTTCTTATATGAGTAATTTTTGTGAAGATTGGAACAGGACATGTTCTATGAAACATTAGGAAGTCTGGATAATTTTAGAGTTCCAGTTAATAATTGTACTACCCAGAACTCTTTCTTCCTGGAAGAATAGCAGTCATTAGAGAGAGTGTTACTGAAAAAGGTGACAGTGTTAAATATAAAAGACACTCCCATCCCTGGGTTATCAGTGAGAAGGCCTGAATTCCAGCACTTGACATGTTATGAATCAATTAAATGATCTTGAGAAAATCACATAACTTCCACTTCCAATTCTTTATTTATAAAATGGGATTAAACCTGCACCTACTACATACTGCATAATAATGTTCTGGAAAAAATATGGAATATATTTACATTATTCAAATAGAAGATATTTTATAAATAAAATACTGGGATGTTGCCCTGCTTCAAGAAGTTTGACGGTGTGGAGAGTTAGAAGCAGCACGGCTCCCACCAGAATAACTATACAAGGTAATAAGTAAGCGGGCCACAGTTCCATGAATGTTCTTATGACAGAAGGCATAAAACTCTTGAATTAGAGACTTACGAGTTGCAGCAAAAGGAGTAACAAGAGCATCAGTACGGTTGTACTAGTCCCCAAGTCCCACAGGGCAATATGGAGGGCCCAGTGGGGCCTGCACACACAGCAGGGTGAGTCACAGGGAGGAACCCGACTCAGGAAACCCACTGTTTTCACAGGAAGCAGTAAGCAAGCTGTCTGTCTGGAAGGAGACCAGGTATAGTGCAAGAACTGCATCGTGTTATCGTCTCAGGGTTCCCAGTTGCATGAACAATCCTGAGGAGCGGCCCAGGGGAAGGGACAGTCAAAGCCTTGGAATTTTGGCACATTCAGCAAGACATGTAGGAGCATAAAAGGCTCTTCACAGACTACATCTCAACATACTGGACTTATCAATGCAAATGAACAGAATTTTAAAATAAGGTTCTATGGCTAATTAAAGAATTATAATTCTAGTTAGAAAGGAAGAATATGCTAAAAGGATATTTAACAATACTATCTCCACTGCTTTTGGGAAAGGGTCACAAGATTAAAATGTGATGACTCCTGACTTTCCACTATTTATGTTAAGAGATACCAATTTTTCAAAACCACTACTTTAACTCTGTAGACTTAAAAAATTATTAAAAATTGCTGAAGTAACTGCCGCATCACAGGAATATCCTCAAGATAATGATTGGTTTCTATGAATTAAGAATAGAAGAACAGCCCGGCTGGGCGTGGCTCAGCGGTTGAGCGTCGACCTGGGATCCAGGCGATCGTGGTTTGATTCCCGGTCAAGGCACATGCCCGGGTTGCAGGCTCGATCACTTTTTCATCATTGATGTTTCTCTCTCTCTCCCTCTCCCTTCCTCTCTCTGAAATCAATAAAGATATATTTAAAAAAAAAAAAAAGTTNTCTCTCTCCCTCTCCCTTCCTCTCTCTGAAATCAATAAAGATATATTTAAAAAAAAAAAAAAAAGAATAGGACAGTCAATAGGAGCCCCAGAGAATCAGAGAATGAGGCCAATAATAAGTATGTGATGGGAAAAGGAAGGAGCATGGGGAACAGAGAACTCACAGAGCTAAGGGATGGACGATACGCACTATAGAGGGGAAAAGTCTGGTGTTCGAGAGTCAGATTTAACGCATCGTAGGAAGAGCAGGACGATTCCACATTCTGTTTTCTCTCCTCTATATTGTGAAAGTGGACGAGGGCCAGCCATTCACAGCCAGGTTTTCAAGTGCATCATTTGGCTGCCAGATGCCCATTATACTAATTGGATCACCAGCCTCTTCTATAACTCATTGACACAAGGATTCCAGGGCTACCCATTTCTTCTGCAGCATTAAAATTTAAGAATACTACCCATACAACAAACCATGAAATATTCACATGAGCCTGTACTCTACTTTTGTATTAAATTGCAACTCCAGGATGGTTCTTCAATAGCCTACTTGAGTGATGTGAAGGAATGCCAATACCAAACTTCTCCTGCTTAAACATTTAACTTTAGACTTCCGGGGCACTTAAAGCTCTTGTGAATATTTACAGTTTGATTAAAATCATCTTCCTCAAGAATTTTGTCTTTTTAGGCCTATAAATACAACTGCTCCAACTGAACAAATGCGGAAATCAGAGTATTTTTGTTAAGAATAGAAAAAGCAAGATTTAATACTGTCACATTCAGACATTAAAATGGCTACATAAAATATACATAGAGCTATATATGTATATTGTATATTGAACTCTAAAAAGAGCCTATGTACATTCATTACTACAGATACATTGATTTATTTTTCTCTTTTATTCTTCATATAAAAGGATAAATATAAAAAAATAGTACAATCAATCTTGAATGAGTAAACTGGTGCTTAATGAAAGTAACTGTCCATTAAAATTTATAAATATGAATGATTTTTAAAATGAGACTTTATGTTAATGATACATTAAAAAGTTAACTTTTTCCAAGAAAGAATTGTATACATGATGGATCTTGTTCTGGGTTCAGACAACAGAATCCATTCTGATTGGTCTAAGAAAGGAAGGATTTACTACAGGTATTAGGTAGCTTATGGGATCTTTGGAAAGGTTAGTGAAATAGTTTCTAAGCCAAATTTCCAGGAATGACTCTGGTGAAGATGCCGGATAGACCCCAGAACCACACTGTCTCCATCTCAGTTAGGAAACTGGGGCCACCACATCCAAACAAAAAATCACATGGTCTTTGCTAATACGTGTACCAGTAAAATGGATGGCCCATGTCCAACCTTTTTCCCCAAATACATTAACGTCACCTCAAATGTCATGAAGAGATATCTGTAGGAATCTAAATCATGTATCTATATCCTAAAAGAAGGAGGAAGTAGGAAGTGGTAGGTTTTTGTACTGCTGTTTTGTTTTCTTTGTTTCCCATTAGATGGTAGGGTCTACATTAAGAAGCACTATAAAAATATAAACATTGTTCAGAAGATTTCCTGCATCCGCCAGCTGCGAATGTCAACTTCAGACCTTTATCATGAAATTTAGGGTACTTTACCTAACACACTTTTCATGTTTCCCTCTTCCTAGATAAATAAGTGGACTTTTATAGCACTCCAATCATTTTTTTATTATTTTGGTATCTTGCTTATAATTTATAAGTCTTGGTCTTCAGCCTGTTTTCTATTCTAGTTTCCTTTAGGTTGGTTTGAAAATTCATGATTACACTACAGATTTCAAAGCACAAACTCCAAACTGTTACATACATCATCTGGTCAATATTCAATCTGTAGCACGTGTTTTGTCTTTGAAGTTTGGTTAAACTTTCTTAGGGGACTGCCAAGACTGAATGGAATATTTTTGTGTCACTTACTCTTGATAGATTGCAGTCTGGCAAAGTTGGAGCTGTACTTCATTTGGCAAACTGTGAAATGCCCTATTCTTCTTTAGATATAGTTGAATCTTTAAAAGAAAAAAACAAACAGAAAGAACAGCTTAGAAAAGGGCTAAAGGAAAATAATTATGTAGCTCTGTTTTTAGCTCAGTTCTGTTCAACATTTCCGATAACCAAAACAAGAGTAGATTTTATGTGGTCTCCAAAGTCTAGCCCTTTCTAATGGGTAGATGTTGATAATGAAAATATTTCATATCTGGATTCATGAGAATTTGGTATGGTTTTAATACAGCAAAAACTCTCCTGTGGAAGTGAAGGGAACACTGATACAATGAGGAGATGCTTTTCTCCAGCATTCATGAAGTTCCATGGTGTTAAGACCCCACCTCTGTGAAAAAGTTGGTAAGGAATCCTTTGGAACCTAGGTCGTCCGGCAAAACATTTAGTGAAAACCAAGGACCATAAATATAAGTCTGACTGTGTCCAGGAGCCTTTCATTGGAAAACATTAGAGGTAAGAAGTTCAAACAAGCCTTTTTCCTCTTTCCCAAAGTATTTTATTTTACTTTGCATTAATATGCATCTGCCTGGTATCTTTGAAAAATAACCGTGATGTGGCTACTAAATTTTTTAAATATTTGCATTTTTAAAGGGTATAAAAACAAAGATATACTCACAACCCCTACCTCATACCATATACAAAGATTACTTCAAGATGAATCAATGATCTAAATATAAGACCTAAAAAAAAAAATCTAAACACTATTACACCAGAACACAAAGGAGCAAACCTTCATGACCTTGGATTTAGTAATAGATTCTTAAATATGACACCAAAAGCACAAGCGGCAAAAGAAAAAATAAATCAGACTTTATCAAACTTAAAAACTTTTTGCATTACAGGAGAGTATCTGGAAAGTGAAAAGACTACTTATAGAATGGGAGAAAATATTTGCAAATCATATATCTGACAAAGGCTTAGTACCCAGAATAGATAAAGAAGTTCTACAACTCAGAAACACAAAGACAAGCCAATTAAAAAATGGGCAAAGGACTTGAATAGACATTTCTCCAAAGAAGACAAACAAATGGCCAATAAGTACGTGAGAAGATATTTAATATTTTTAGTCACCTGGGAAATGCAAATCAAAACCACAATGAGATACCACTTCACACCCTCGGGCATTGCTGGTGCAGTTGCAGTGGGGACAGCTCAGCAGTTACTCAAAAAGCTATAGAATTACCATACTGCCCAGCAATCCCAATCCTAGGCATTCCTTTCCCAGACTCCCAATTCTAGTGGCCACTTTCTTTCTCTTTAATTTTGCCCTCCACAACATCATATAAATATAATCACATAATACACTGCTTTTTGGTTATGACTTAGCAAAATGCATTTAAGGCCATCCTTGTCTTGTGCACACAGCAGTTTGTTCCTTTCTATTGCCCATTTGTGTTTTATTGTATGGATGTATCAATTTTCCTGTCTATTTGCTTGTTGAAGAACATTATAAGAATTATCTTTACATTTTCCTTTTCATTGCTAAAAAATTAAAATTCTATTTAATTCCTAAATGAGTATAGTCCGTGCTGATATTTTGTTTTGATTCTTTGAAATTTGGTGTTTACAATGTACAGACTTCATTTACTATTTATAAGAATGCTTGACTAACAGAAAGGCCTCATTTTCTAACCTGCTAGATAACAGTTTTCTGCAATGGCTACTAAATTAAAAAACCTGAAATGTAAGGGTGCTTAAAATCTTAAGTAACAGTCTCTGCATGTTATATGACCATACCTGTCAAAAAAATTTAATGCCATTTTAACCATTTTTAAGTGTACAGTAGATTGGCATTAATTACATTCACACTGCTGTACACCCATAACCACCATCTGTTTTCAAATCTTTTCCATCACCCCACTTATAAACTCTGTGGCTATTAAGTAATAATTCTACCTACTCCCTCCCCTCAGCCCCTGGCAACCACCATTCTACTCTCTGTCACTATGAGTTTGACTGTTTTATACATCTAACACAAATGGAATCACGAAGCACTAGTTATGTGGCTGGCTTACTTCATTTAGCATAATGTCTTTAAGGTTCATCTGTACTGTTGCACATATCAGAACTCTGTTCCTTTTGAAGACTGAATAAACCATTTAATGGATGCGTCACATGTCCTTTACCTATTCATCCATCAATGGACATTTAGGTTGTTTCCACATACTGCTATTGCAAATGGCACTGCAATGAATATGGGAATGCTAATATCTCTTCGAAATCCCAATTTCCATTCTTTTGGATAAATAGCTTAAGTGAGATTATTGGATATGACAGTTCTATTTTTAATTTTTGAGGAGTCTTCATACTGCTTTCCATAGCGGTTACACCATTTAACATTCCCACCCCCAGTTTGTAAAGGTTCCAATTCTGCACATCCTAGCCAACATTCTACTCTCGGCCTCCATGAGTTTGACTAGTTTATATATCTCACATAAATGGAATCGTTAGTTATTTGTCATTATGGAACTGGTTTACTTCATTTAGCGTAACGTCTTCAAGGTTCATCAATATTGTTTTATATATCAGAAATTCATTCTTTTTTAAAATTTGTTGTTGACAGTATTACAGATGTCCCCCATTTGGCCCCTTTACACCTCCCTCCATGCAGCCCCCACCTCACCCCACCCCAGGCCTAACCACACTGTTGTCTGTGTCCATGGGTTTAAGGCTGTTGTCTTGTTTTTTTTATAATAGTCATCCTAACAGGTATAAGGCAATATCTTATCGTGGGTGATTTGCAGTTCCCTGATGATTAGTGACCTCCAGCATCTTTTTGTATATCTCTTGGCCATTTGTATGCCTTCTTTGGAGAAATGTCTGGTCAGTTCCATTGTCCCTTCTTTAATTGAGTTACTTGGGTTTTGCTATTTATAGAAATTTCTTATATATTTGGATATTAATTCCTATCAGAGAAATGATTTGCAAATATTTTCTCCCATTCCACAGGTTGCCTTTTTATTTTTTTAAAGAAACTATCACTTTAATTTATTTTTTATTGATTTTAGAGAGAGAGGGAGGGAGAGAGACATCGATGTGAGAGAGAAACACTAATCGGTTGCCTCCGACTGGGGACTGAACCCATAACCTGGGCATGTGCCCTGACTGGCAATTGAACTGGCAACTCCTTGGTGCATGGGACAATGCTCACCCAACTGAGCCACACTGCCCAGGGCCGTCTTTTTATTTTGATGACTGTTTCCTTTGTTATGCAGAAGCTTTTTAGTTTGATGTAGTCCCACTTTTAGTGGTCTATTTTTGCTTTTGTTGCCTGTGGTTTTAGTGTCATATCCATGAAATAATTGCCAAGATCAATATAGTCATGGAATACATCCCATTTACAATAGCATCAAGAAGAATAAAAACTTAAGAGTAAACAACCAAGGAGGTGAAGGATCTGTACACTGAACACTGTGAAACACTATTGAGAGAATTTAAAGGAGATGCAAACAAATGGGAAGACATCTTGTGTTCATGGACTGAAAGATTTAATATTGTTAAAATGTCTACTACCCCAAGCGTTCTATAGATTCAAAGGTTAATAAAGTCTAAAGAACATATGTTCAGCCCAATGCTTTCTCTTTACCTAAAATGCATGTAGCGCTGAAATAACCATCTTCCTTTAGGGCAATGCAGAGAAAATTCTCTGGATTACAGTAATTTTATCCCCTGAACTGACAACTGTTCCTATCTGATTAGATATAAAACTATTCATTCCTGCCAGTCTTTTTTTTTGACATGCCGAACAGGGATTTTCAATCTGTCACCTCTAGAGCTCCTGGAAGAAATAAAAGGGGAACTGGGGGTGAAAAGGGATTTTTGAACTTTCAATATTTTGAAAAGACTGATGAGATCATTAATTTACCTGTAATAAAGTCACTGGGATAATGTATAACATACTTGCTTTAGCTGGAATCATGTCAGCTCAGCATGAACAAGTGATTGATTGACAATAAGATATATCTTTAATTTTAGAAAGCAGGAAGATAAATTGACTATTAATAAGTGACTTTTGTTAGGAGGCAAAGACCTTTCAAAGCACGAGGTTCATGGGGTGGCATGGCTAGGAACCAGCGTGCTACTTACTGTATAAGATGCCCTGCCCTCGGCTCTAACTCTGAAAGCCACCTCACCATCAGAATCCTCAGCCTCCACTCCCAGGACTTCTTCTGACCCTGGAAAACCTTCTCTGGTATAAATTAAAAGCACTTGGTAATTTAATGCCATTTGATTGCCTCATGCATACTCAAGAAAGCCATATACTTCATAGTATGCATATGATTCATAAAGAATTGAATAAATATAGTGTCTATTTTTATACCTTCTGGAACACAGTTCTCTCCTGAAAATAGGTCCTATGAGAAAGAGAGATTTAACTTAAATTTTTTTTTTTCCAGGTTGTAGATTCATTGTTAAATTGAGGACTGTCAGACCCACACAAGAATTTCAGCTCACAGTCACAAGAACTTACATGGCTATGATTTTAATTATATAGGTAGATTCAAGATAGTGTCCCAAGCACAGAAAACACTGACTTTTAGAAATGCCTGATGCCAAAGATGATGACTACTTGTAATACAACACTTTATTTTTTAGGATACTCTGAAATGCTTTATACCTTAAAATGTTTAAAAATCAATATCTCTTTTTACTTTATAGCTGGTATACAAAACATTCTTTAGAGGCTAAAAAACAAGAAATGTACATCCAACTTACCTAAGTACATTAAAATTTTAACAGAAGCAGAGATGGTCCACCTAATCTCTTAGGGACAGAAATCCATATCTACATAATGGGTTGCTGAAGTTCATTCAAAGATTAATAAATTAAAATCATGGAAAACATTTTAATAGGCTTAAATAAATTAACTTATGATCAAAATCAATTATTTATCTTAAATTCATACATCAAACAAATATAACACACAGTAGGGACTCAATGATTAATATTTCTTCAATCAATGTATGAAATAAATAAAAGAACAGCTTCACTAGATGTATGTATAAACATATAAAAATATTCCAAACAGCTCTGGCCTATGTTGCTCAGTGGTTAGAGCACTGGCCCATGCACCAAAGGGTTGCAGGTTCAATTCCTGACCAAGGGCACATACTTGGGTTGCAGGTTTGATCCCCAGCGCCTTTTGGGGGTGTGCGGGAGGCAACCAACAAATATGTCTCTCTCACATCAATGTCTCTCTCTCTCTCTTTCTCTCTTCCCCTCCCTTCCTTCACTCTCTCTAAAAATCAATGGGAAAAATATCCTTGGGTGAAGATTAATAAAAACAAACAAAAAAATATTTCAACTGTCTTTACTTAATCCCATTTTGTTTTCAAAAACCTAAAATTAAGGCAACGACTGGAGAGTAGAATTATAAGAAAAATAATTTGGCATGATGTTTTTATAGTGTTAACCTGTATTTGCTTAAAATTATAGAAGAAAAGCATCAATGAATATATTGGAATAATCATATATCAAATTTTTATTTATTTATTTACCTCTCTGAGGCTTTCTTGGCTTCTTTGCTTAGGTTGAATGAACAACAACGTTTTCAGCTTTTCAAAATCTTTGCTCTGTAAAACAAAGTGTACTTACATTGAATGCATCCAACCTGTCCCCATGGATACAATTTCTTCTAGAAATTTGGACAGGATTTATAGCCTGGGGAACAATGAGTGTTATTTGTGTAATATTGACGTTTAACTTTACACATTAACTTTGTTGAAATTACTTTAAGAAACAGATTTACTTAAAACAATTGAAGCACCAAGTATGGAATTCACCAGTCATGTTATAGGTAGATATGTTTGATTATAACTAAGACAACGAGACCATTACAACAGATTGAGAGTTTCTGTGCTGAAAGGCTATTGAGTGAGTCATTGGGTATGAGTCACCCCATGAATGTAGTTCAATCTCAAGTCAACCCAGCTGGACTAGAGATCACATTCAAGACGCTCCATGAGCCTATACAAGAGTGTCAACAGTAGTTGTTTCCTTTTTATCTACAGAATTCAGTTTCAAAATAGTGTTACTGAGGACTATGCTATAAGGTGAAATACAGTTGAGTTTATCTCAATACAGTATTTTTCTTTAACTTTTTATACCAGGTCTCGGGCTTTAACATAAAAAAGTATGACTTCCATCCTCTATCTTGATATCAATTTCCTCGTCACATCCCATACTTGATAATGAGAATCTAAACATAGATCCAAGACACTCCTAGACTTATTCTGATAACTTGTTTGATCTTAATAATGATAATAATAATAATCTATTGAGCATTTAGTATGCATAAGGCACTATTCCAAGAACTTTACATGTATTCATTCATGAAAGCAGTTTATATTTTTTGGCTTCCTATATATTAACAAAGAAACTCTCCTGGCTATTAAAAATGCCTATGAATGATACAGGAATATGCTGACTTTATTCTTCTGGGTTTTAGTAGCTGTTTTTTTGGTGTGTGGATTTTTTTAAAAAAAGAATGAATGACAGTACTACCATAGTTTACCAAAGCAACACAGCAGAGATGAGGCAACATCTAATCCTAATTCAAGTAACTTTATTCCACTATTCCAGTATACCATAAAGTACGGTTTATTCTACATTGAGAACTATACTGTACAGTGTGAAACAAGTTAACACTCCCATAATGGCTGGAATTGTTCTAATGGGATCTAGTAATGTTATTCAGAAGAGTTCATGAAAAATGAACTTTTACCCAGTTTAACCCTACAATCTACTCAAATGAATGACCAGAAAAAATTGTCATTTGATACAATTAACATGTAACAATTTAATTGTGTCAAATTTTTTAAAAAACAGAGGAAAGTGAATTGTTTTATTTAATGTCAATATCTTCCCCAAATATATAAAGAAATTTAACTCTATTAAGCATAATAAACTTTAATTATCAGAGTTAAGTTTTATTCTGTGATAGAATATCTATAAATTAGCTCAAATTATTTTTAATATTAAATATACTAAAATTTCAAACTGATCTGCAAACTACATATCATTATGAAAAAAGCTAATACATTCATATGCATATAAAGAATGGAGGGAGCTTGACCAGTGTGGTTCAGTGGTTGAGCACTGGCCTATGATCCAGGAGATCGAGATTCAATTCTAGGCAGGGCACATGCCCAGGTTTCAGGCTCAATCCCCCTTGGGGGGAGGGGGGGTGCAGGAGGCAGCTGATCAATGACTATCATCATTAATGTTTCTCTCTCTCTCTCTCTCTCCCTTTTCCTTCCTCTAAAATCAATAAAGATATATTAAAAAAAAAAAAGAATAGAGGGAAATAAACCAAAATGTTACAACTAATTATCTGTCCTCTTGGAGATGGAATTTTTAGTCATTTTTATTTTCTCCTTTATAACCTTTCTATAATTTTCAAATTTCCTACACTTAAACTGTATTACTTTTATTTTATTTCAAATTTTTAAAAATAGATACAAATATATTTTTATGATTATGAAAACAACATATTTACATTTAAAAGTGAAAATCCATTGACATTCTACCAACCATAATCATTGTTCTATTTTGAGACATTCTAGATATCTATTGTTGCTATGTGTGGTGTATATAAATATCTATATATTCAAAACATATATATACACACTTATGTGCACACATGTGGAAACATATATAATTTTACAAAAATAAAATACACTATTCTGTTTTGTGACCTGATTTTTTTCTTCAGTGATATACTATTTACTTCCTTCCACTTGTACATCATTTTTAATAGATGCATCATACTCCATCATATGATATTTTATAATATCTATTTAGCCCAGTTATCCCTCAGCACCCAGTTTAGATATCAGTTCCTCCAAGAAGCCTCCGCTGCCTCCCCATTTCTGGGCCCAGCTTCCCCATATGTGCTTCAACCACAGTCTACACCATCAGCACTGCACTCAATGAATGTTTAGTTGACTGTCTTCTTTCCTAGATTCTAAGCTATATGAGGGCAGGGAACCAACTAAATCTGAGTAATTGTTGTACCCCTGTACTTACTACGGTGCTCAACAGAGACAGCACCAAATAAATAGTTGAAATATAAATTGTTTCATTTCTTTAAATTATAAACAATAAGATAAACATTCTTGCACATGCAAATGTGTGCATTTATCCAATCATTCTCATGGGGGTAAATTTTTTAAATTGGAATTACAGAGATAAAGACATGCACATTTTGGATTTTAATACATACTGTCAAATTGCCCTCCAAAATCCCTGTAGAAATTTACATTCCCACTACCAATGGATGGATGAAAGTATCCATTTTCCCACTGGTTTTAAAACCAATTCCCAATATTATTATTCATCACTTTATAATTTTTTTTTAATTTTAAAGATATTACACATTTTGCTAGTCTTAAATCTAGATAGCTATTAATTAGGATGCAGACAAAAATACTAACCAAGTTATATTTAGAATAATTGCTCATGCCAAATGATAGTTCATTAGCTGGATGATTCTTTACGCTCAAGTAAAATAGTGCCCATTCTTTTGCTCGACTCTTTTCAATGTACCTGAAAGAGAAATGATAAAAACATATAGAAATATAAAAGTACTGACTTGAAGAGAACATGTGCAAAAACAAGCTAATGTGGAGATGAATCAACTGGAGTAGAATGTACACAGGATAACATGCACGTTAGTATCCGGGGGAAACACTAAGGTATGGGTTCAAAACACAAGGTGAAATGTGCAACTGACTGTGGATGTAGTTACATTTTGCTCTGAAAAATCAAGTTGGAAAATGTTTTGTCTTGATGCTCTAGACTTGCATTTCCCAAAGCCTATTATCAGTGTCCACAGGATTGCCTACTAGTACTCCAAACTAACTGTGTAGAAATAACACTCATATTCTTCCTCTTCTCCCTGCAGAAAACTTGGTTAATTCTGGATCCAGGCCATGACGCTCTATCTAGACTTGTACCGTCCAATATGTACATGCAGCTAGTATAAATGAGAGGTGTTGTAAGTGTAAAACACCCACTGGATTTCAAAGACTTAGTATGAAAACAGAATGTAAAATATATTGTTAATAATTTTATATAGATTACTTGTTGAAATGATATTTTGGAGATATTGGGTTAAAAATAATTTTACGTTTCTCTTCACCTCAACCTTCGTTAATGTGGCTACTAGGAGTCGATGAAGGGGATTTCCAGGGGCATGGAAGGCAGTGTAGAAGCTGAGCAGGACCATAAATCAAAGATGAGAAAACTGTTTTAAATACCAGATTACCTTGAACGATAGTTTTCACTGTGTTATCGCTCTGTTGCTTTTGCTAAAACCTTCAAAAATGCCTCAGAATATTCGAATGTCTGAGCTGGACTACAAGATAGCAAACTTGAGCTACAGGGTGTGTCTCCCGTAGCCAGGAGTGACCAATAAGAAAACCAAGGGAATGATGAACTTGGACAGAATCAGCTGTCCCGCCCACCAGGAGATTCCCTTTCCCATGCCAGCCTTGGAGTTCTGGATGTTGGTGGTGAGTTTTGTTTGTATGTTTTATTGTGGTTATCCATTTCAAGGATGTCATCACTCCCTCAGGGATTCCTTTAACCTGTAACAAAACCTCAGAATGCCTCAGTCCCAAAAGTTGCCTGAACCTCATTTGAATTTGCCACATGCTCTGGGATCTGTGCCTTGGATGCCAAAGTTGTCATCGGAGTCCAGCTCTGTACCCATCTCCTTCCCCATGAGCAGATGGCAGCCTGGGCCCAGTTACTTCAACTCCCCTCCTGGTCTTATGCATGGAAATCCCCGAATGCCTTGAGCTCAGGCATGCTCAGCTACTGGGTGAATGAAGCTCATGATCTCTAAAGTCTTTTTCAACCTTATGTTACTATAACAAAAAGCAGACCAGTGGTTGCTTAGAGCTGTGATGGGAGGTATTCCAATGGAGCTGAGGAAACTTTTGGGAGTGGTGGATATTTCCAGTATTTTGACTGTGGTGATGGTTTATGGGTGTATACTTATATCAACTTATCAAAATGTCAGTTATACCTCCATAAAGCTATTAAAAAGCAGTACAGGCATACCTCATTTTATTGCTTTTCGCTTTATTTCACTTCACCGATGTTGTGCGCTTTTTTTACAAGCTGAAGGCGAGACCTGCCACTGGCTTTATTGTGATACTTGCTTTATTGCAGTGGTCTGGAATTAAATTTGCAATAGCTCGGAGGTATGCCTGTACTAACATGCATAATCATTCTCATAACCATTTTCATAATCATTTTCATCAATCAAGAAACCAATGGCCAAATATTTATCACCCACTCTGACTAACTCCCTCCCTGGTAGGAATAAGAGTTTTCTTGGCCAAACAGGACTTCAGGGAAGTCATTCTATCATACCCTTGACACAAAAAATGCAGTAGTTTAGCAGCATAGCTTCCATATATACTTCACTGTGTTAATCAGAAGAAAATGTGATCTGACATATGTTTGAAACCAGTGGGTTGTTTGTTTTTCCATAGGAAGAAATATCTCCAGTGAATAAAAAATAAAACTTGGAAAACTTCACAACCCAATACAGCAGAGTAATTATCTCAGGTTGCGTTTCATAGAAACAGAGCCTGAGATGAAGATTCTTGTGTGATTTAAGGCTGTCAGGTGAAAACTGTAAGAAAGGTGAGCAGGCCAGAGAAAGGGAAGGGGTAAGGCAAAAATGTGGGTCCAGCTGCAGTCTTCCCCTCTAAGGTAGGGAGGCACCCCCTTAGCCACAGACCACACCTGAGAGTCGGGGTGTAACCTCCTGAGCATCTTCTGGCAGGACGCCTTCCATCAGCAAGGCAGCTGTTGGGAGCCTATACTCACAGCAGCTGGAGACCGTGGGCACCTACCTACCTGAAACACTCTGAAAATGCTCGATAAATACTATAGATTTTATTGTTGTTGCTATTACTGTGTCCTCGGAGATGCCCACACCAGGTGGCTCACTGCCCAGTGCTGTGCAGGCGCTCCACACAGCTGGGCACCCAGGAAGGACATTTTTACCCCAGCGTTACTTCGGGGTCGTCTGAAGAGTCCCCATTTGGTGACTGCCTAGAAATGTACACGTATCTGTTTCATGTGGCATTTTCCTCAAGTCCACAGTCAAGCAAAATCAAACCTTCCTGTGTTTCTCAGCATCAGCTGTGGTGACTTCTGTGGGAGACAGATCCCCAAGAGATGAATTCTTCTAGCCCGGGACAGGAAAACCAAAGCCAGAAATGAAACCCCTCTCTCACCCAGGCTGTGTGACCCCCGTCATGACACCAGAGTTCCCACAACGTCACAGCCAGACTCGGAGCGACACTGCAAACCGAAGTCCCGGGGCCACCCCTGTGATTTCTGCATTCTCCAGGCGCAAGTGTGGGAAATGCGGGCTTTTCCTCCCGGGGTCTCCTGGCCTGGAAACCGCACGCACACGGTTCACAGCTGAGGGAGGGGGCGCGCGGGGCGCCCGGACCCGGCTCCCCGGGAAG